CAGCTTATGAATGATTCTCATTCTTTTTTTTCTTTTTTTTAATTTTATTTCATCGATGAGAGAGAAACATCGATCAGCTGCCTCCTGCACACCTCCTACTGGGGATGTACATGCCCTTGACCGGAATCAAACCCCGGACCCTTCAGTCCGCAGGCCGACGCTCTATCCACTGAGCCACACCGGTTTCGGCTCTCTCCCATCCTTGATGTTTCTGTTTCTTTCCTTTTCCCTTCCTCTGTGACATAAAACATCTATATAAGTAAATAAAAGGGGCCCTCCCCCCGCTGCCCCGAGCACAGCACAGCGTTGCTGTCCGGGGTCTCAGAGCCGGAGACTGAGTTAGGTGGGAGCTCCTGTGCTCTCGGCTGGGAGGCCAGTGTGGTAAGTGAGTAAGTTGTCTGAACAGGAAGCACGCAGCCCTGGCCAGTTTGGCTCAGCAGATGGAGTGTCGGCCTGTGGACCAAAGGGTCCTGGATTCGATTCTGTTCAAGGGGACACACCCCGGTTATGGGCTCGATCCCCAGTGCAGGAGGCAGCTGGTCAGTGATTCTCTCTCATCATGGCTCTCTCCTCTCCCTTCCTCTCTGAAATCAATAAGAATATGTTTTTAAAAAAATAAGTAAATAAAAATAGCCGAAACCGGTTTGGCTCAATGGATAGAGCGTCGGCTTGGGGACTAAAGGGTCCCGGGTTCGATTCCAGTCAAGGGCATGTACCTTGGTTGCGGGCACATCCCCAGTAGGGGCTGTGCAAGAGGCAACTGATCGATGACTCTCTCTCATCGATGTTTCTGGCTCTCTATCTCTCTCCCTTCCTCTCTGTACAAAATCAATCAAATTTATATAAAAAAATAAAAAAAATAAAAAAATAAAAAATAGAGGACTCCCATCTGACTAAGTCCGCCCTGGAAGATGTCCCCTTTGATTAAGTTCAAGTTAACTGGCTTAGGGCCTTAACGGCACCTGCAAAATCAGCTCACCTTTGCCGTGTAAGATAATCTCATCAAGCGTGACGTCCATCTCCTTTGTCCTGTAACCCAGCCTGGTCCCCAGTATATAACGCTGGGGGGCAGGGATCTTGGGGGCCCCCTTGGAATTCTGCCCGTCACAGCATATCGGCAATGACTGTCATGTGACATCAAGCCTCCATGCTTTATGTTGGGGACCGGCCACAGGTGCTAAGCCTAGGGTCGCCCAAATTCTTTTTTTTTTTTTAATATATTTTATTTTTTATAGAGAGGAAGAGAGAGGGATAGAGAATTAGGAACGTCGATGAGAGAGGAACATCGATCAGCTGTCTCCTGCACACTCTCTACTGGGGATGTGCCCGCAACCAAGGTACATGCCCTTCACCGGAATCGAACCCGGGACCCTTCAGTCCGCAGGCCTATGCTCTGAGCCACACCGGTTACGGCCTAAATTCTTAATTGAAGGAATGACCAAGTTCCTGTTTGCGGAGAGATGAAGCTTCTGTCCTCCCAGCTCCTGGAGGCCTGCAGGCTAGGTTAGGTACTGGATGTCTATGTGCTTATAACCCCACTTCTTTTTTTTCTTCCTTTTTAAAAAAATATATTTTATTGATTTTTTTTTTTACATAGAGGAAGGGAGAGGGATAGAGAGTCAGAAACATTGATGATCCCTAACCGGTTAGGCCCAGTGGATGGAGCATCAACCTGCGGACTGAAAGGTCCCAGGTTCAATTCTGGTCAAGGGCATGTACCTTGACTGTGGGAACATCCCCAGTGGGGAGTGTGCAGGAGGCAGCTGAATCCATGTTTCTAACTCTCTATCCCTCTCCCTCTCCCTTCCTCTCTATAAAAAATCAATAAAATAAAAAAATAGAAACATGGATGAAACATTGATCAGCTGCCTCCTGGGACCAGTGTACATACATGCCCCTGACCAGAATCGAACCTGGGACCCTTCAGTCCACAGGCCAACGTACTATCCACTGATCCAAACCAGTCAGGGCCTAACCCCACTTCCAGCCACCCTCACCCCCAGTGGTAGCGCCCACTCGGAGGGCTGTGACCCACGGCAGCTCTGGCTGATGGGACCAGATGAGCCTTCTCTGCGATTGAGAATGCATTCGGGCCCCAGCACGTGCCCGGACTGGGATCCAGCCATTGGCATTTTGGTGCCTGGGTCGATGTTCAACACTAAGCCACAGCGACCAGGCGGTCAGTTAATTTTAACAATTTTTATTAACCCTATTTATCCCAAATACGGAATTTAAAATCTCTGCCGGGTCGGCATGGCTCAGTGGTTGAGGTTCGATTCTTGGTCCGGTCACATGTCCAGGTCATGGGCTTGATCCCCCATAGGGGGCATGCAGGAGGCAGGGGGCAGATCGGTGATTCTCATCATTGATATTTCTGTCTCTCCCTCTCTGAAATCAATAAAAAAAAAAATTAAAAAATAGCCCTAGCCAGTTTGGCTCAGTGAATAGAGTGTCGGCCTGCAGACTGAAGGGTCCCAGGTTCTATTCAGGCCAAGGGCACAGGCCCGGGTTGCGAGCTTGATCCCCAGCAGGGGGCGTGCAGGAGGCAGCTGTTCAATGATTCTCATCATTGATGTTTCTATTTCTTTCTCCCTCTTCCTCCGTCTCTGAAATCAATAAATAAGTATATTAAAATTTTTTTAAATAAAAGATGTATTTTCAAAAAAGTACACACTAAAAAAATGAATGTGAGCAGACACTTGATAAAAGAAGATATAGGAATGGTCAGTAAGCCGGCAGCGGTGGTCAGAGCAATACAGATGACAGCCACGGGGGATCCCGCTGCATGCCCACCAGCCTGGTGGAAATGAAAGACGGATCCCGCCGAAACCGGTGTGGCTCAGTGGCTAGAGCATCGGTCTGCAGACTGAAAAGTCCCAGGTTCGATTCCGGTCAAGGGCATGTACCTTGGTTGCAGGCACATCCCCAGTAGGGGGTGTGCAGGAGGCAGCTGGTCGATGTTTCTCTCATCGACGTTTCTAGCTCTCTATCCCTCTCTCCTCCTCTCTGTAAAAAACCAATAAAATATATTAAAAAAGGAAAGAAAAGAGAGAAAGACAGATCCTATCGGGTGCCGGCCAGGACCTGGAGCAGGGGTCCTCTTCGTGCATCCCTGAGGGAAATGCAGAAGGGTAGAACCCCCGTGAGCCCTTGGGGCAGTTCCTTAGAAAGCGAAGCCTAAAGCGTACACCTGTCATGCAACTCTGGTCACCTGCCTCCCGGCTCACCCAAGAGGAATGACAAAGTGTCTCTCCAGAAAGAGTGTTCTTAGCCACTTGATTCACATTAACCCCCATCTGGACACTATTCAGCTGTCTGTCAACAGGAAAGAAAAGAAAGGATGATACTGTTACTGAACTGGAGGGGTTCGCTGCTTGGGGTATTTTACTAAAAAAATGAAACAGTTGTTGCAATGCCCGTGAGTAAAGGAGACGGGATTCCCATCCAAAACTCCGCCCCCCTAAGGGAGCTTAGCCATATGGCTCCTCACGATTTGGCCAACTACATGTTGATTTCTTCTTTGCAGTTGGCTACACTTACTAGCTGAGTTCTTGTTCAGTAATCCTGTTTGCAGCTGCAACTAAGAAATACTACGCTACATTTTAACATTTAGCAGAAATAACAGTAATAACATGGGGCACTTCCCAGGCCTGAAGACCCTTGTCCCAACAACACATCAGTACAAATGGAATTCTCCTGAGCAATACGAAGAATTGCACAACCTTTGCGTGTAGCAACATGGGTGAATCAAAAAAGCATGATGCTGAGTGCATGAAGACAGACACGACACAAAAAGACACAATGCAGGAATGTAGGAAACTTCAGCAAAGGAAAAGCTACACTGCAGTGGCAGACAATAGAAAGCCATCGCTTCAGGGGTTGGGTGGATAAGGAATCAATTTAGAAAGGATTATATGAAGGAACTTTCCAGGGTGACGGTTCTACATTCATCTTCATTCACTCGGTAGCCTTTTCTGCAGATCCGGGAAAGCTCCCTGGAGGAGGCAGTGTCAGCTGTGCCCTGATGGATGTATAGGAGGTGACTGTCAAAGGGAGGTGGGTGTTCCTTGCAAGGGGAGGGAATTGGCAAAGGCCAAAGGGTTTGAGGGAGGCCACTGGGTTTAGAAAACGTGGAACCGTTAAGGAGAGGGGCTGGAATTTTTTTTTAAATTTTATTGATTATGGTATCACATAATTATCCTCACACCCCCCCCATTCCCATCCCAAACCCCTCCCCACATATGCCCCCACCCCTGTTGTCCATGGCCCACTGGGTAGGCCCATATGCATGCACACAAGTCCTTTGGCTGATCTCTCCCCCTGCCCCCCACCCTCCCCTTGCGGCTGGATTTTGAATGCACTGACGCCTGCGTCCTTTCCGACTTGGTTCCAGACCCCGCACAAGCCCTCCCTCTCTTTGGGTCTCTAATGGCTTCCATTTTTCCCCCCCTCACGTAAATGGGCAAAATCTCCCTCGTTTCCCTTAGACTCCCTTGGGGCTGGGAGAATCCATCAGGAATAAGCGATGAGTGACAGTTCTTTTGAGTCAATCGCTGGAGGATAAAGCCGTCTCTCCGCGTGGGCCAATCGCCTTGTTCTTGAGACCATCCGCTGGGCGGGGCTCGCTAAAGGCCTCGTGACCTCACCTTTCCGATGAACCAATAGCAGCTGATGAGAGGCGGGTCCTCAAGGTGATGGACAGATCTATTTCAAAATGTCCGCTAGCGCGGGGCCCGTCGGGAAAGCTTTGAGGTGGTGCCGGGGAAAGGGGCGGGAGCTCCCGGATGGCTTCGCCCAATCACCAGTCGCGGCTCCTGTGACAGACGAGAAATCTTTCCCATCCCCGTCGACTTCAGTGGGCGGGACTTTCCACTCCAGGCTAGACGCGTCCCTGGATTTTGACGGGCGTCTTCCTTGTCCAATCAGTAGACGGCATTCCCAGACGGACCGCCTCCGTCGCCAATGAGATCTCCTGGCGGTGCCGCGGTGGGCGGGCCCAGGCCCTCCGGTATAAGGCGGTCTCGGGAGAGTGCGGAGAAGGGGGGGGGTCTCGGCGGCTCGAGGAGCAGGAGCGGGTGAATATGGCGGCAGCCGAGACCGCGAACTGCATCATGGAGGTGAGCGTCTGGAACGCGGCCGGCGGCGGAGGCCGGTTTGGGGGTCGGTGGCGGACGGCTTGGAGAAGGGGCTGTGAGTCGGTGGATTGGAGTCGAGGCCTCCCGCCGTGCGGAGGGGGTCCACATGCTCCGGGTCGGGGCCGCCGTCTCGGTGCGGGTTCCCCAGCTTTGGGGGGGGGGCTGCGGTCTCCCGCCCGGACGCGGATCTCGCGCCCCCCCACGTGGAGGCGGGCTGGGGGCGCTTCCGGCCTGGCCCCCACGTGGCTGCGGCGCGGCGGGTGGGGAGGGGGTGTGCCGCGCCCGGTGGCCCGGCGGGCGGGCTCCACGTGCGGGACAAAGGCCCCGCCCCCGGCCGGGGGAGGGCCGCCCGGGGGGGGGGCTCCCACCCTTCTGGGCCCCCCAGCGCCTCCCGGGGATCGCGACGTCCATTTCCGAGTGGGACTGAGCCCAGGGCCTCCTGGAAGGGGCCGTGTGTCAGGACCCTCTCCATCCATCCATCCCCCCTCCCGGGAATGGGGCATTTCCTTAGGCATCGGCCCGGGTTTTGTGCACTTTTGGGGTTCGGATTGGAGGGAGACAAAGGCTTGGTTTTCTCTGCGCGCCCCCCCCCTTCTTCCCCGTTTCCTGTCGCTGGATTATCCTCGGGGGCTGGGGGATCGGGATGCCCCTGTGACCTCTCGGTGGCGGCGGCGGCGGCGGCGGCGGCGGCGGGGCCTCCAGCTGAAGGCGATCTCTCCCGATAAGGCGCCAGGCACCCCCTGGTGGCCATCTCTGGGCGTGTGGGAGGGCCGTCTTTTTCACGGGGCGTGTCTCCGAGCCCCCCTCCCCGCCGGCGCCCGCGGGGGAGGGGAGGGGGCTGCGGGGAGGGGGTCTGCGTGATGGAGGCCGCGAGCTCTCCCCCCATTCCTCCTCTGGGCATTGGTGGAGGCGGGAGATGTACTCCCCCCGCCCAAGCCCCCCTCCAGAATCCATGTCTGAGGGTCCGAGCCCGGATGCCTGAAATGGCTTCCCAAAATGGGGGTTCTCGTGCCGCCATGCGGGCTGGCTCCGGCGCCGGGCTCCAGCTATTTGGGGAGATGAGTGTGGCCGGGAGATGAGTGATGTTGAGAAATGAGCCCCAACGGGGAATCCCCCCAACGGCCGCCCTCCTTTGTGGGCATCCTGGCTGGTTGCGGGGATGGGGTGGGGCCTGGGCCCTGCGGGTCACCTCCCCCCCGGCTTGGCGCTCCCCGCAGCCTGGGCACGGCTGTCATCGGGTGGGGGCCGCCGGATTCTCACCCCTGGCCTTGGTCGGCCTCTGGGCTCGGAGGGCAGCTCCCCAGGGTCACTCCAATGACTCCCATCCCCCTCGGCTCTCCCGGACCAGGGCCTGAATAGGGGGGGAGTATTCCCCCCGGGTTGTCTCACGTGGGGGCTTCCGAGCCTGCGATGTGTGTCTGGATGGGAGGAGGTGGGCGGGAGCGTCCAGAATGCAGCCTCTCCCCCCGGGAATCTGGGCAGAGCGGTCATAAGCAAGGAGATTGGCTCCCAACTGGTTTCATTTGGGGCTTCCTGAGCCCAAGCAGGAGGGGGAGCTGGGGTCCGGGTGCCAGCTGCGGTGGGGGTGCCACATCTCCATGCCGGAATCCTCTTACGAAAGAGGCCGGTTTCCAGAAGTGGCAGGTGCCCAGTGGGTGCGCTCTGCCAGCCAGCTCTTCAGCTCCGGGTGTGTGTGTGTGTGTGTGTGTGTGTGTGTGTGTGTGTCAGGGTCAGGAGTGTCACCTAAGCTGGGGGATTAGTTGATGGAGGGGTGACAGCTGGCAGTGCCTGTGTGCCCCCGGTGGGTGCCAGATCCTCTGGGCTGGGTGGGGGAGGGGTGCGCGGTCAGATGCCCGGCCAGAGAGGGGCAGCTTGGGATCCGTCCGCCATCTCTCCAGCCACAGCTGAGACAGAAGCCCTCTCTCCTCCCCCGACTCGCCCCTCCCTGTTTGAAACAGCCCTGCCCCGAGACCTGCTCTCTCTGCCCCCACTCCCCCCCCCACGGAAAAGGAAAATCTCAGAAAACACTCCCCTCGCCTACCGGCCAGGATCGCTGGCCTGGCCTGCCCCTAGCCGCTCCCAGTAGCTAACCCTTTCTCCCTGTCCTCTCTCCTAGAATTTTGTAGCCACCTTGGCTAATGGGATGAGCCTCCAGCCGCCTCTTGAAGAAGTAAATATCCTTTTGTGAGACCCCTCCCCTTATAAGATACCTGCACACACCAGGCCCTTTCTCGTGGTCTAACCATGATCCCTCTTGCTTCAAACCAGCTTGCCCCCTGCCCCCCGAAAACACGCAGTACACACTCCCTGCAGGTCCGTGGCCCCCACCTTGCCTTCCCCAAGACTGGCCGCTTCCTTAACTCCATTTCCAGCTCCCCTTTGCCCTTCCCCGTGTCTGCTCCAGTCCTGCCTTCCCCTCCCCTCCCAGCTGTGGGCTGAGCTAGAGACGGGGGCAGAGAGACTGGAGAGATGGTAGGCATGGCTGAGGTGTCGGCATTCCCTGTCATAGGAATATGGGGCTTTCGGGTTCTGGGGAGGCAAGCGTTAGATGGGAGCTGTAGGGTTGCCATGATTTGGGGCGTTTATTCCAGGGAGAAGTAGGGACCTGGAGGCTTACGAGGCGTTGGGGAGCCCAGATTTGACCCACCGCCCTGTCCTCCCTCTCTCAGGTCTCCTGTGGCCAAACGGAATGCACCGAGAAGCCCAACGCGGAGGACATGACGTCCAAGGATTACTACTTCGATTCCTACGCCCACTTTGGAATCCACGAGGTGCGTGCGTGCGGGCAGCTTCCAGGGTTGCTGAATCCGGGGAGGTAATTTATGGGAGGGCTGGGACTGAATTTCCCACCATGCACCCTGCCTTCCCTGGCAGCAGGCTGCCCCTCTGCGCATGCCCCAAGCTCACCCTGGGGTCTGCTCTCCCTGCGGTTGCCTTGGAGACCAAGGTTAGCCAGGTGCTCTTCAGGATCCCTCCGAGAGGCAGGGGTGGGAGCCCACGAGCTTGGCTGGGATGCAGCTGGCGGGCGGGCAGGCTGGTTTCTGCCGCCCCCTAGTGGCCAGCGGTGGGATTGTCCTCCCAGCGGCTCCTGTCTCTGCAGATGGCTTCTCTGCTCTGGTTCACAGAGGCTGCCGGCCCAGTGGTTGGGATGGATTCTGAGGATTTTTTCTTTTGGTCTTTTTTGTTTTTCTTTGTCCTGGGTGTACAGGTCAGTGGATTATTGATTTCAGAGAGAGAAAGAGATAAAAACGTCAATGATGAGAGAATCATTGATCAGCTGCCTCCTGCACACCTCCCACTGGGGATGTGCCCGCAACCAATGTCCATGCCCTTGACCGGAATCGAACCCGCGACCCCTCAGTCCGCAGGCCGATGCTCTCTATCCACTGAGCCAAACCGGTTTCGGCTGCTGAGGACTTTTCAAAGCAAATACAACTGAGGCTTAGGAGGCAGTGGTAGAGCCTGGCTGATCTGGAAGGGAGGTTAGTCTGTCCGGTCTGATTTGACAGATAGGGAGACTGAGGCACATGGCAAGGAAAAGACTTGTTCCAAAGGGACTGAGCAAGTGGGAGGCCTGAGCTCTGGCTCTCCAAACGGTTAGCATGTCAGAGGCCAGACACCCCGTTTGCAGCTGTGAGCGCAGGCCCCTCATGGTGCCTCCGCGGCCTTCCCCCCAGGAGATGCTGAAAGACGAGGTGCGCACCCTCACCTACCGCAACTCCATGTTCCACAACCGGCACCTCTTCAAGGACAAGGTGGTGCTGGACGTGGGCTCGGGCACGGGCATCCTCTGTATGTTCGCCGCCAAGGCCGGGGCCCGCAGGGTCATCGGGGTGAGTGTCCTGGGCAGCTGGGTGGGCGTGGGCCCTGGGCGGAAAGGTCCCCGTGGGGCTCAGGGATTGGGTAGAGGGGGCGGGACCGTGGAGAAGGGGGGGCTCATCCTCACCTCTCCCTGGACCCCCCAGATCGAGTGTTCCAGCATCTCCGATTACGCGGTGAAGATCGTCAAAGCCAACAAGTTAGACCACGGTGAGCCCAGGAGGAGAACGGGTGTGTGCGGGTGGCACGGGCGGGCGCAGCTCCCCTGGGCCCTGGGCAGGAGGGAGGGGGCCGCTAGACGCCAGTTCAGCTTGTCCTCTCCGGTGGGCTCTGAGAATTCAGCCTTCTCAGCCCGAAACCTGATGAGCAGGCTCTGCTGTCTTAGCATCTAAGTGTTGAAGTCCCAGACTTAGCGCCTTCCTCTGCAACGTCAGGCAAGAAGCGGTCTTTGGATTTTTCAGCGAGGAGGTCATGCGGGCCCACGTGAGAAGGCGCCCAGCCGCCCTTCTCGGAGCTCAGCCAACACTCCCAGGCCTCTAACTGCGCGCACACATGCATGTAAAGGTTTTTACATTCACGTGCGTCATTTTTACACACGGCATTTCACGCAAGTCTTTCCCTTTGCCTTTTCTTATTTAAAAAAACACACACACCCTTTTATTGATTTCGAAGAGGAAGGGAGAGAGAAACATTAGTGATGAGAGAGAATCATTGATTGGCTGCCTCCTACATGCCCCCTCCTGGGACCAGCAATCGAACCGTGACTTTCTGGTGCATAGTTGGGACTCAACCACTGAGCCACACCAGCTTTCTCTCTGGCCATCGTGTCGGTTAACATGTTGCAGGACGTTGAGAGGATCTTGTTCTTTTTGATCCACACACACCCGGGCTGAGAGCTTCCTCTCCTGCGTATAATGCCGTTCCACAACAACTGGCACATCTGTGAGGTCCGTTTATAAAAGTTCTGTCCCATGGGTCAGACATGGAAGTTGGTAGATGCTGCCGAGATGGCCTTTGAGTTCCCACCTGCGAGGTGTGAGGGGCAGAGTGTGAAGGCTCCTGGCATTTAGTAACTGAAGCGATTCTTTCTTTCTCAGTAAGACTAGTATAGTGACCCCCTGTACCCAACACTCGGCTGTAAATATGTCCGTTGGAAGCAAATTCCAAATGTGATGCCATTTAGATCCTGCCGTGTATGTTTCTAATAGATGATCACGCTGTTATCGGCAAAACCTGAACATCACCCACTGCCTAATCCACGTAAGATCTCTGCTCCTGGCTCAGGAAATATAGAGTGGGTGATTTTAAAACTGAGCGACCAGGGTTGCTTCAGCTGGCGGAGTTCTCTGAAGAGGCTTCAGAAGACAAGGGCTGCCCCAGTGGGGTCCCCAGGGGGAGGCGGTCGGACAGGCTGTGCCCTCTCTGCCCCCGCAGTGGTGACCATCATCAAGGGGAAGGTGGAGGAGGTGGAGCTTCCGGTGGAGAAGGTCGACATCATCATCAGCGAGTGGATGGGCTACTGTCTCTTCTACGAGTCCATGCTCAACACCGTGCTCTACGCCCGAGACAAGTGGCTGGTGAGGCCCCGCAGGCGGGCGTGGGGCGGGGTCCTGAGTGCGTGTGGCCTGGGTCCGTGGGGGCCAGGTGTGTCCCACACAGGATCGCCGTCGCAGATGTTGGAGGGCCCACAGGCAAACGAGTAGAACAATTTTTGGGAGCTACATGGTGACAGGGAGATGGTCAGGAGGTGCTAGCGCTGGGGCAGGGAGGGACGGGGGCGGGGTGAGTCCCTCAGGTTCTCACACCAGAGACGTGCCAGGCAGAGGGAATCCCCAAGGAGATGGCTGAGACTTGATCAGAGGAGGGGAGGCGGCCACACAGGCTCTGCATCTGAGGGGAAGAACACACTGGGCAGGACTGCAGCCAGTGCAAAGGTCCTGGGGCAGGATGTGCTGTGTGTGGAGGAGAAGCAGGGAAGCTAGTGAAATGAGCATCTGGAAGAACAGTAGGAGGTGAAGGTAGAGGTGAGGGGTGGAGGGGCCTTGTGGACCCTCATGAGACATTGCTTTCCCTCTCAGGAGCAGGGCGGGTTCTGATGACCCCTGAGAACCTCCGGGCAGGGTCTGGTTTAGGTGCCCATGATTCCACCTGACAGCCATGTGGGGAGTGATTCGGGGCGAGAGCAGAGCAGGGGACCCTGAGGCCGGGCAGGAGCCCAGGCGGGAGGTGTCAGTGGCTCAGAGGAGGCGGATAAAGAGCCAAACGGGAGAGGTTGGGCTGCAGTGTTAAGGCCCCCTCTCCTCACCCCCTCACCCTGCCCTCACACAGGCGCCTGATGGCCTCATCTTCCCAGACCGGGCCACGCTGTACGTGACGGCCATCGAGGACCGGCAGTACAAAGACTACAAGATCCACTGTGAGCTCGGGCCCAGGAGCTTGTGGGCTGGGGCGGGCTCCGGCTGACCGGGCGCCTGGCGTGCTCACCCCTGCTCCCTGCCTCCCCCCAGGGTGGGAGAACGTGTATGGCTTTGACATGTCTTGCATCAAAGACGTGGCCATCAAGGAGCCCCTGGTGGACGTGGTGGACCCCAAGCAGCTGGTCACCAACGCCTGCCTCATCAAGGTGAGGGGATGGGCTGGCCAGGTCCCCCGGGGTTGGAGCCGAGGAAGGACCGGCTCCTGTCCCGCATGGGAGACGTCAGGGCGCAGAGTGCTGGCCTCGGGTCCTGTCAGCCAGGGTGAGGCTAGAGGCCCAGCGAAGCCGTGTCACCCATGAAAACGCTCTGGGCCAGCCAGGGCCCGTGGTTCCAAGACGGAACCCATGGAGCTGGGCTTGCCCTGCCGGGGACACTTTGCAGGGGAACACAGGCTGGCAGCTAAGACCCCTGCGGGGCTCGCCCGAGCACCAAATGCAAGAAGCGGCCAGGAGCGAGCTGATGTCACAAGGAAAGCGTCCTGGCTGCGGTCAGGTGTTGAGCTCCCTCCCTGCCACGTCGCACGGCACTCTGTGAGGCAGGCAGCCCGGGCGGAGGAGTGAGGAGAGGAGGCGGGATGAGCGGGTGCCTGACCGGCCCGGCCTCAGGCTGCATCAGGCCAGGAGCCGTCGGGCGAGGCACCGTCTGATGGGCTTGGTTTGCAGCTGCCACTTTGGTGATAGACCTGCCGGCTGTTATGTGGGCGGGGCGGGGCGGGGCACAGAAGCAGGAGCCCCGTGGGGAGGGGTGAACGGCCGATCCAGTGAAGCGGCAGGTCCGGGGATAAACTCGGGTGGAGGTTCGGGTGGGAGGGGAGGGAAAGGCCTCGGGCCCTGGGCCAGGCGAGGTGGAGGGCGCTCACGGCCTGTCCCGCAGGAGGTGGACATCTACACGGTGAAGGTGGAGGACCTGACCTTCACCTCGCCCTTCTGCCTGCAAGTGAAGCGCAACGACTACGTGCACGCGCTGGTGGCCTACTTCAACATCGAGTTCACACGCTGCCACAAGCGCACCGGCTTCTCCACCAGTGAGTCCGCCCCGCTCCGCCTCAGTTTCCCCACCAGGCCCAGGCGGGACTGGGGGTGGTGAAGGGATTCACGGGCAGCTGGCCACAGTCAGCGCTCCGTAAGCAGCCACGGGGGGGGGGGTGCCAGGCAGAGGGGCGGGCGGGACCAGGGTGGCGCGGGGGCCAGCCGGCTGACCCGGCTCTGCCCTCAGGCCCCGAGTCCCCGTACACGCACTGGAAGCAGACGGTGTTCTACATGGAGGACTACCTGACGGTGAAGACGGGCGAGGAGATCTTCGGCACCATCGGCATGCGGCCCAACGCCAAGAACAACGTGAGGCTGGGCACGGGGTGGACTGGGGGCGCCTCTGCCTGTCCGGGCTCCCGGGTCTGTCTGGACTGAGCACCTCCTGGGAGCAGGCTCTGGGGACCCCTGCTGCACCCCTGCCCCCCCCCCCATGCTCCCGATCTAGACGTGGTCACAGTCACTGGTGATGGCAGCTGGAGGGACTGGGCCAAGCTGGCGAGGGGGATCGGCTGAGGAGGCCAGAGGAGAGCCTGGGCCTGGGATCGAGGGACGCAGGGGAGGGCGGGCCGCTTGTCCCTCCTGCGCCCCTGGCCGCGTGCAGCGGCCACCCACGGGGGCAGACTCGGGCTCCAGCTGGGCCTCCGTGGGAGGAGGAGGGTCTGATTCCTGAGGGGAGCGTGCTCTGCACCAAAACATGGGGCCCAAAAGGCACCCACTTCCCAAGTCAGGGAGACGAGCGCGTTAAAGCAGGGACTCGCAGCCAGGGCCCTGTACCCCGGATGCTGTTGGCCACTAGGGACCTGGGGGGTATTACAGCCGAGAGGGTGCTAATGGCATCTGGGGGGTAGAGGCTGGGGTGCACAGGATGGTGGAGTGGCCCCAGTGCCGGTAGTGTGGGGGCTAAGACCCCCCAAACTGAAGAGACAGAGCCTGAGGGGGGAGAGGGAGGCGGGTGAGGGGACGGAGGGCAGCATTCCCGGGGAGAGCCGGCGGCTTCGGGGCAGGGGCAGGGGAGGGGGAGTGAGGCCAGTGGGGGCCGTTTTGCTGTCAGGTTTCCAGGAGGAGGGAGTACGGTTGAGAGAGGGGTTCGCTTTTACGCGGGGAGACGTGCTGTTTTGCTGATGGGGTGGTTCTCAGGAATAAGCAGTTGAGTGAGGCCAGGCAGCTGAGCTCTGCCTGAGGGACCAGGAGGGGTGCTGCCCGGAGTCCGGCCCAGAGCGGGTGCTCGGACCAGCGATGTGGCATCTCCGTCCTGGCCATGGGCTGACAGCAGGGCCCTCGGGCCTCCAGGGAGGCTGGGCACAGGCCTGCACCCCCCCATCCCCTCCCGGCTCGGACAGTCTGCGTCCCTGCCTGCCCTCCGGTCCCTCATGTCCCCCTCTCCCCGCAGCGCGACCTGGACTTCACCATCGACCTGGACTTCAAGGGCCAGCTGTGCGAGCTGTCCTGCTCCACCGACTACCGGATGCGCTGAGAGCGCCCGGTGTCCCCCACCCCGGCCGGCCGGCCTCGGGCCCAGAGGCCGCGGCATTTCTGAGGGTCCGGGACCCCCTCCGCCCCTTTCTCCGAAGGGAGTCACAGGGGCCTGGGCCCGGGATGGGAGGGTGGGGGGAGGGCACCTTGTGACTGTTTTTCATAACTTATGTTTTTATATGGTTACATTTATGCCAATAAATCCTCAGCTGGGACAGCGTGGCTTCCGGGGGGTGGGGTTCTGTGTGCAGGTGCTGAGGTCTCAGTCTGAGCCGCCAGGAGTACCCGGGTGACGGCTGGAGGTCTGTCCTCGCTGTGTCTAGTTCTGTCTCTCCACAGCCCTGAGTCTTGTTCCTACTCACCTCTTGCTCCCTCCTAGGATCTCCCCCCCTGCCCTCCCCAGGAGAGTGAGTCTGTGCCCCCCCCCCCCCCCATTGCCTGAGTCACTATTATCTCGAGTGCCCATTGGGCATGGGCTGCTTCCAGCTGCACTGCCAGGCTGGTGGCGGGTTGGGTGTGGGTTCCCTGTACAGCTGGGCCCTGAAGCTTCTCAGAAGGCCATTTCCTGCCTCCCCCAACACGATTCCTGTTTTCTCTGTCCAGGCCCCTCCAGTGCCATGCCAGGCTGCCTGGGCAGCTAAGACACTGAGCTGCAGAGGAGTCGCCCTGGGGCTCAGAATTCCTTTGGGGGGCGGGTATCCGAGGTGGGGTCCCATCTTAGGGTAACAGCCTCCCCACTCAGAGGTGGGCACCAAGGTCCCATGACCTTCCCGTGCCAGGCGGGAGTCCTCATCCACCACCGTCCCATGCCCTCGTCCACAGCCCCACCCCAGCCCCTGGGCTGCCTGGCACAGCGCCTACTCTGCCTGCTGAACCTGGGCTTGCAGGTCACTGGTCGTTCTTCCAGGCTGGTGTCCACTCTGGCAGTGCTGAGCCCGGCTCTGTCCCTGTCCCCAGGGCCCTTGGGTGGCGGGGTCTCCCTGGGTGAGGGTGAGGTCTGGTCTATACTGGAGCCCTCCCCCCCTTTCCTCAGAACCAGATGCTGACACCACTTGAAAGTGTCAGCTGTGCCCTCACGGGTTTGGCTCAGTGGATGGAGTGTCAGCCTGCAGACTGAGTGGTTCTGGGTTCGATTCCAGTCGAGGGCATGTGTCTTGGTTGCAGGCACATCCCCAGGAAGGGGTGTACAGGAGGCGGCTGATCAAAGTTTCTCTCTCATCGATGTTTCTCTCTATCCCTCTCTCTTCCTCTGTAAAAAAAAAAAAAAAAAAAAAATCATGAAACATTAAAAAAAGGAAAAATGTCAGCTGTCCCGTCCCTCTTTCCTAGGCCTTAGAATTGCCTCTCCTGAGGCACCACCCAGCACCCTGAGGGCTCCCCGGGGAGGGGGAGGGGGAGGAGGGGGGGTGTCTGGGTTCAGGAGAAGGGGGAGGGTCTGGGTTCTTATCCTGCCTTTCTGGCCCCATGTGGCCCCAGAAACGGGCCTGTTTTTCTCTTGGGAGGTGGGGGTCGGTCCCTGACTCCTTGAGCTACATCTTACCCTGGAGGAGGGCTGCCCTGCCCCCCTTCCCTCACTGGTTCTTCTGGTGACCAACACCCACCTGCTGTTACAGCTCCCTCCAGCCTGGGGGACCCGGCTCCTTGGGCAGGTGAGAAAGGGTATGGTGACCTGACAGGTTTGGCTCAGTGGATAGAGCGTCTACCTGTGGACTAAAGGATCCCGGGTTCGATTCCGGTCACCGGCATGTACCTTGGTTGCGGGCACATCCCCAGTAGGGGGTGTCCAGGAGGCAGCTGGTCGAAGTCTCTCGTCATTGTTTCTAACTCCATCTCTTTCCCTTCCTCTCTGTAAAAAATCAGTTAAAAATTAAAGGCTGGTGGTGTCGGGAACATGCCTACAAGGAGCCCTCAGGCCAGGGCTGTCCGGCTAGGAATGGGGAGGCCCCTCAGATCTGCCCTATCGGTTGCCGGTCCCGTTTCTCTAGTGGCTTGCTCGTGCCTCGGTATCACTCTCCTCGGTGGCCCTCTGTTCCCTGGGACATGCCAAATGTACCACCTGCCAGAGACCAAGTACTGGCCCTGCTCTGCCTCCGCCAAGGAGCTCAGGAAAGTTGGGCTGGACCCATGGCAGTGAGGCCTGCAGTGTTCAGCTTGCTGGTGACATTGAACACCTCTGCACCTCTCCTAGCCTCAGTTTACCCATCTGTATATTGGGGCCACAACCCCAAGTTTCCTCCTAGTTCTACATGGACTTGCCCAGATATCATATTTCTCCCCTCCTGTGACTGGGCTGGGCCCAGGGGCACCCCAGAACCAGCATGGACAGAATATTAATGTCCCAAGCCAAATAAAAGGTGATACCCATGTTTCAGTCTTTGCTCTTTCTGGTCTGACCACCTGAGTCCCGCCCCTAACACTTCCCCCCTGTGCCATGCACACTTTCCCTCATGGGAGTCCCTCTGACCATCTAACTCTGCAGCCGCCTCCTCCGCGCCAGCGCAGTTGCACCTTGTGTGGGTAGCTCTGGCTCTGTCTGATCCCAAACCAGCTTTCCTCCCTCCCTGGGATGGCAGGGCGGAGATTCGCTCCAGCTCCTGGACACCCCACGCGCGTGACTGGGCTTTACCGGAGGTGGGCTGCGAGTCCCCGGGTAAGCCCCGTTCCGGAGGAGAAAGGAGCGCGCTCCCCGGGGGAGACAGACCGGAGCCCGGGAACCTGGGGCTCAGAGGACCGATGCTGCCGGCGGCTGATGGAGAAGGAGGCGGGGAGAGAGGGACAGCGGGGACCCACGCTGGGAGCGGATTGGAGGCTGGGGCTCGGGAGGCGGGGACAGCGCAGAGCCATCGGGAGGGGGCGGGGATAGAGGGACAGTGGGGACCCACGCCGGGAGGGGATTGGAGGCTGGGGCTCGGGGGGCGGGGACAGCGCCGCGTCATTGGGAGGGGGCGGGGATAGAGGGACAGCGGGGACCCACGCCGGGAGGGGATTGGAGGCTGGGGCTCGGGGGGCGGGGACAGGGAGCCGGATTGGAAGGGGCGGGGACAACCAGGGGAGGCACACGCTGGACAGAAGTCGGGGGTCCTGGGTGGTGGATGATCGGGGCGCGCAGGAACCCCTGAAGCCCCTCGGCCAGGTCGCGGACTCGCCGCCCTGGGCCGCACATCTCTATGCGAGTGGGGGACGGGCCTGGCGCTCCGCACCGGGGGTCGGGGAGGGGTGAGCCGGCCTGGTCCCCAGGACCCCATCGGCGGACGCCTGCCCGGCGGAGTAAGTACGGACGGGAGGGGCCGAGCCGCAGCGGGGCGGGAGGCCCGGGTCTCAGGCTGGGCGTCCAGCTTCTCCATCACTTGTCCTCGCAGCATCCCTGGCTGCGGGGCATGCGCAGTGGAGGGCTCCCTCCCCCACCCCCGCCGGCCCCTGCTGCGGGGGAGGGGGCGCCGGGCCAACCCGAAGCGGGTGCATGATAGACAGTCCACCCACCCTCACCCTCACCCACCCCACCCCATCCAACCCTCACCCCACTCCACCCTCACCCACCCCACCCCACCCCACTCCACCCTCACCCACCCCACCCCACCCGGCCTTGGAACGGGAAACGGAAACGGGTGGGCAGTGCCAGCGTCTGGCAGGTGTTTGTTTTAAGAGAGTCCAGGACTGATATTTTCCTCGGAGACCCCGTAACTCACCCTGGACGGACTCCCCCTCTCCGCCGCCCCCCCCCCCCCCCCCCCCCGCTCCACCTCCGAATTTTGAAAGTCCTCTATTGGGAGGAGGCACTGCCCCCGCACCGCATCCTCAGCACAGACACCAGTTAGCCCTCCCGCCTGTGTGTGGGTTCACAGAGGTCCCCCACGGAGGTCCCCCCAACACCGAGCGTCTGGCCGGGACCCTCAGACCCTAAGGTGCTTAGGACCGGGGAGCTGTTTGGGGCTGAGGGAGGGGAGGCTGGACCCCAGGGTCTGAGGGAGGGGGGGCTGGGGGCCTGGACCCCTGGCTCTGAGGGAGGAGGGCTGGGGGCCTGGACCCCTGGGTCTGAGGGAGGAGGGCTGGGGGCCTGGACCCCTGGGTCTGAGGGAGGAGGGCCTGAGGCCTGGACTCCTGGGTCTGAGGGAGGAGGGGCTGGGGTCTGGGTCTGAGGGAGGAGGGGCTGGGGTCTGGGTCTGAGGGAGGAGGGCCTGGGGCCTGGACTCCTGGGTCTGAGGGAGGAGGGCTGGGGGCCTGGACCCCTGGGTCTGAGGGAGGAGGGGCTGGGGTCTGGGTCTGAGGGAGGAGGGGCTGGGGTCTGGGTCTGAGGGAGGAGGGGCTGGGGGCTGGGTCTGAGGGAGGAGGGCCTGGGGCCTGGCCCCCCGGGTCTGCGGGAGCAGCGGGCTGGGAGCTCAGGGCCTCTGTCCTCCCAGGGCCGGCGGGACATGGCGGAGGCGCACCAGGCGGTGGGCCTCGGGGCCGCGCTGCCCTCGGGGGCGGAGGCGGCCCCGGGCGCCCTGCTGCAGGACATCTACCTGTCCGGACTGCGCTCCTGGAAGAGGCACCTCGCCCGCTTCTGGGTGAGCAGGGCTGCGGGTGGCCGCCCTCCCGGGATCCTGCTTCCGCTTCCGGGAGCCCTGTCCCCATCCAGGGCTCCTTACAGCTGCTTTCTGGTCTGGGGTCCTCAGCCTCCTCCACGGGGACCCCTGCTCACCGCTTGCACCCACTTCTGGGACCCCCGCCTTCCCCACACCCCCAACTCCACTTCCACCCCAATTTCTAGAACTCAGTCCCCTTCCCACGGTGCACTTCTCAGCTCTCCCACTCATCTGCAGGAGTTAAAGTGGGTGGTCCTGCCAGGCAGGGTGGCTCAGTGGTTGGTGTAACCTGGGTTACAGTTTTCTCCCCACCCCCTGTCCGGTGGGTGCGGGAGGCAACTAGTTGATGTGTCTCTCTCACATCGATGTTACTCCCCTCTCTCTCTCTCTCTCTCTCTCTCTCTCTCTCTCTCTCTCTCTCTCAGTGAAAAAAAGTATCCTCAAGTGAGGATTAACAAAAAAGAAAGAAACAAAAATAACCACATTTGCCTGTAATGTTTCCTGCCAAGCCAAAGGCAGACAAGTAAATAAACCCCAAGGAACAGTAGAGTAGCGATGGAAAGGATCGCCGTAGTGACACTTATTGAGCACCTGCTGAATGCCTGGCTCCGAGCTACGCCATGCAGGCCCTCCCCCCGACCCCTTCTCTGCTT